TATCTATTTTTTAATTTACTATCCTTAGAAACAACTGTTTGGTCAAAAAGATGAGAATGATCTCTCATTGCAACTCATTCAGGTAAGTAGTTAAAAAAATACAAAAATCACAAGCATTCATTATTTTTATTGCATTTGCCACTATTTTAGATTTTTCAAGATTCCCAGCAGCAAGGAACGTTGTCCCTTTGAGAAGTAAGGGACAATTTGACTGCAGAATGAGAATTTATGGTGGAAAATGACATGCCCATTTACTTCCTTTCTTGGCCTCTTCAAAAACACTGTTAGCTTGAATTACACCAGACCCTGACTCCCTTTCTGAAATAAGTGCTAAATGGTTAAGAATGCAGTAGTATGCTTTTTTAAAACTACTATTACTGCTGGCATTCTGAGCTGTATTGCAAGTTCATGTTAAAAAGCTTATGCTTCCTTCAGGCCTCTGTGAAAGCAGGGTGTTATTGCTGTTTAGGGGAATTACCTAGTAAACATTAAACAAACAAAAGACCTACCTCCTATTTAAAGTTTCAGCTGGGACCCAAAAGAGTGAGCTAAGGTTTTACACTAGAGTATAACATAATAACATCGTGATTAATGTGGGCCTATGAACTGTTTGGGTAGCTTATATTCACTACTATCCAGGCCAGCTACATTCAGGCCAGCTCAACTTTATTCTTGTTCTCACCTTGATGCTGTAACTCCAAAAGCTCTCTCTGTTCGCTGTGTGATACCATCAGCTGTCCCAGATTCCATGTCATGTCAGCAAAGTTAACGAAAGGTCTTCTGTTCTGCACAGCTCCGGCATACTTTGTCTCTTGCTCCCTTCCAAGGATGCCACCAGCTAGCACAACGATGACTCTCAACAGTTGTACGCATTTCTGAACTGTTTAATTTAGACAGATTTTTTAACTCCATCAAGTAGTTTTGTCCATGGGTGTTAAAGTGGTTTGTCATAGATCGTTACGGCCATCTCATTTAGTGATTGTATATCGTTGACAGAAATGATGAAGAATCACTGGAAGCTTCCAACTATCCTCATTCCATGTTTTATGCAGAAATAATAACTTGTTTGATATGTGGGATTTTCACCTTCTGGTTAATTTTAGAAAACTGCTAGGTAAGCCAATGCCTCTGCAATGTCTTCACTGATGTAAAGCCATGGTGTTACTAAAATGGCTTCCATGGAAACCCAGGAACATTATTTGACAAATTTTGGTGGTCTCCAGGGTTTTTTTTAAGCTTAGACTCTTCACTGGATGTGCTTTTTGCTTTGTTTCGTTAAAAAAACAAAATCCTTAAAAATGGCATGGAATGTGGTTTGCAAACCTAACAGCTTTGTTAAAGTGACAACAAAATTAAGCTGGCCACTAAGAGGCTGTAATAAAGGAGTAGGCAGACTCCATCTGCCTCCCCACACCAAATCAAATCTTGTGCAGTAGCACAGTATGTCATGAGAGTCATAGAATTATGTAATATTTGAGGTTGGAAGGGATCTCTGGAGATCGTCTAGTCCAACCCGCCTGGTCAGAGCAGGGTCGCCTAGGGCCAGTTGCTGCGAACCCTGTCCAGATGGCTTTTTAATATCTCCAAGGCTGAAGACTCCACAAACTCTCTGGGCAGCCTGTTCCAGTATTAAACCACTCTTACAATAAAAAGGCGTTTTCTTATGTTTTTTTTTTCTTATGTTTTAATATTATTCTAATTCGCTTTACTACAAAAACAATTCTGGCAAAATTAAGATATTGCTTGCCTTTAAAAAAAAAATTAAAAACATATCACTGCCTCTGAATTACGTAGTCTACCCCAGGGCTTGCAACTTTGTTTTCACACATAATGTTATATCACAGTTCTTCACAGTTCAGAAGGCTATGAAACCACAAAATAGCCATCACCAGTTTGGATAGGAAATTACACTACTGGTTCCTCTGCTGGTAAATGAAATTGCAGGAGAAACGCTTATCCCAATCTCTGACCACACCAGATCTTGCAGACTTTTAATAAGAGCACTAATAGCGATACACTTAAACTGAGGTTCAAGTGTAGGTGTGTTTAACAGCACTTATTTTCTTGATTCCACATCTTTATTTGAAGACATGTCTTGTCTGACAAGTATTATTCAAACCTATTGCCTACTTTTCCAAAGGCTGTTCAGTATTAGCAGTATGTTCCAGCTCCTCCTCCTCCTCAGTGTTGTGTTGACTTTCTCTTCTCTACCTTTACTCTGCAGGTAGTGACATTACCACCTCTAAAGTGTACATCTCCTAAGCACCTACCGGTCTGAAGCCTTAGTCTGAAACTCTATACGTAGGAAAAGTAGCATTATACAAGTGCTCTGCTTCGCGTAGGTGTATGTTATCCAGTGGACAGCAAAGCTCCTTAAGGTTATGTACAGGAGTGGTTGAAAGGAAGTGAGCAGTCCTCAAGACAGCGTGTCAGGTTCTCGTTTAGAAGGAGACTGGCTCCTTATAGATTGTGTGTGCGTGTGTGTATACACATCTCGTGGTTTAACCCCAGCCAGCAACGAAGCACCACGCAGCTGCTCACTCTGCTGTTTGTATGCATGCATACAAACATTCTAAGCTTAAATGATTAAATAATAAATCTGAGCAAAGGTTAAATTCCAGTACGTGAGCACTGAGATATTGTATTAGAGGCACATACACATGAAAACAATCACTAAACTTAAGCTCTGGGTGCACATTTTAAACACTGCACCCTTGGACTGTGTAACTCTGCCTTCTCCAAATTCAAAAGGTCCACAGCCGAAAGGTCCACTTAAAACCTTGACAGATGTAAGTAAATAAAAAATAAGAGAGCAATAAGGTCCATATCATGATGGATGTCTTCTCATACATTTGAAGTTACAGTTTACAGGCTGCTTGAAGGTCTCGTGAATACCTATCAATCAGCACCAGTCTGCACAGGGAAAAAGGAGGAAGATGAACAGATGGCAACATTTTAGTTTGTGGATTAAAGATAAATTTAGTGCCAAAAGGGAATTACTATTGTTTAAAATGTAAAGCTTTCTATTTATTCTTCTCTAGCTCCAGACTTCTGGCAGTACAATTTCTGACTACCATGTTGTTCTTAAAAGTGCTCACTTTTTAAATCTGAGGGGGGTGGGTGGTGTTGGTTGGTTTTTTTTCAATTGTAGCACTACAAATAAATTTGAAAAACTATCACACAGATAGAACGCACAGTGCTGCGTTAAGCATGGACTTCAAAGTTCAAGGACTGTCAAAAATAAAGGCCTACAAATATTACTTACCTTTTCACTAGATCCATCAAAGTCAAATGCATGAAGTTAGCACAACTAAACATTCACAAGACTGAAGCCAACAGATCACTCTTAATACAGGCTTTTTACCAGCTGCGCTGCATGAGAAACATATTTGCAATATGAATATACTATAAAAGGCAGCAAAACCGTTAAAAATTAATATACAATATGCAACTGCTATATATGGGGCTTTTAGATTTTTTTACATCCTAATTCTGCTTGATCATACGTTAGGGCAAAATTATGTGTCATATAGAGGATAGTACACTACAAGTAGAGAGCAAAGTTTTACACATCACAACTTCAACATAACCTATTAAAATAAGACAAAAGTTTTGTGTTTTAGTAGTCCATTGGAATCACGTTTGGTTTTAACCTGTGTGTCTTCAGGGAATAAGAATGTATATTTACAAATATGCTAGAACAGATTTTGTCCAGTCTCTTCTTCCGTGTTTCAATGAAAGTTTATACTTCAACTGAATGGGATTTTACAGGCCCCAAACTAGACTTTAAAGGTTCTGTTTGGCATCTGTGAGACCAGCAGAGCAAGGTCAAATGCTTGATGCAGGTTTTTTTGCAGGCAGATCACTAGCAGCACTAGTTATGTTAGCAGGAATCCTGGGAATTGTACCCTTGAGTTCACTGTGTAAAATGTAAGACACCTAATTACACTTTCAGGAAAGGCAGCATCTGAGTCAAAGGATTTTTAACCAAATCTTATAATGTTTTCTAGAACAGTATAATCTGTGGTATACCAGATATTTAATATGAAAATAAAGAGTTACTCATTTTGAGAAAGCTACCGAGGGCTTTAATCTCCAGTATAGGCTCTGGAACCAGTGAAAGTGTCTTCTGCCAGCTGCCTGCTTTAAAAATGCATCTCTGTGTGTGTGTGTGCTGGGATGACCAGAGGTATCAAAAAGTGTGGCAACTTTTCCGTAGCATAAAGAAATGCACGTGGCCATTCCTGCCCAATTTTATTCATTTAGAGAGACTATCCCTCATTTTAGCTTCGTTTTAAAGCATTTCCAAAACCTCCCACTGCTCTGATGAAGTATTGTACTGTGTGTTTTAATGAGGCATCAGGAAACGGCTAACTACTAATGTTTTTTAATTTGCAGTCACGCAGGCTGGTGTAGGTTGGCAGCCCGCGGTGTCGCGCGGTGCGATGCCCTGAGCAGGTAACCTTAGGGAAAGGACGGGAAGGAAGAACCTGCGGAGGCAGGAGGGAGAAAGGTGCTCCAGCAGCCAGGCAGGGATGCTGCGGCTGGGAAGCACTGGTCCTGTCTTCTCCACGGCGCACGATTCCCCCACCACGTTACACAGATTATCCCAAGCAGCCATCCGTCAACGGACGGGGGGGATACACATACCTCAAATATTTACGGTGCCTGCACTTTGAGAATGAGATGGTTCGTTCACATCTGTGAATGGGCCGTTTTTAAAACATCAAAATAAACCATCTGGCTGCACAACTGTTTCTAATTACTTCCCTGCCTAGACTGTAAACTTTGGGGTTTGGCACCGGCCTCCCTCCCAGAGTGCTGCCCAAATCCCGCTCCCAGGCAGCTAATCAGAGCCACTGCAGCACGGGGGGGAGCAGCCCCGGAGCCAGGCTTGTCCGGCTCGCAGCTCTCCACACGCCCGGCGGGTCTGTCCGGCCGTCTGTCCGACCGGCCGTTCCGCGGGAGCGCTCCAGGTGCGGCATAGAGCGGCTCGCACCATGTACGCGCAGGGGCTGCCGGGGCTGGTGGTGCTGCTGCTGGTCACCTCGCTGCCGGCCGGTCACCCCACGCCACCGGCCGGTCCCCCGGCCCTACGGTAAGTGGGGCTCGGAAGCCTCCCGGGGGGGTCGCGGCCGATTTATGAGATGTCGGGAGCGTAGAGGCTGGGGTTGCGGAGGGAGCGGTGGAGGGGTTTGCGAGCTCTTCCCTCTGCCTGCTTAAAAGTCATGCCGAGGGAAGCGTTCTGGGTCGTGAGGAACCTAAAGAGGTGTTGTGCAAACTGCGGGGGTTATCTGCAATGATGTATTTCGTGCCTGAGACGCAGACCTTTGAAGCAGCAAAGGAGGGAGAGCTGGATGGCAATGGACCTTTACACCCAAACCTCGGAATTCTGCTGCCCAAGCGGAGCAGGCACCTAACCACAAATCCCGGTGCGTTCCTGCTTTTTGGTGTGGCAGCACAGCGAGGCACCCTGCCCTTGGCTCTCCCCCTCCACCACGGCCAGCACCCACTGCTCGCAGAGCCAGCAGCTCCTTTGCTCCAGAACCTGCAAGGTCTAGTGTCTGAGAAGTGCAGGTACCAGTCACCTGAACCCTCAGTATTCCCTAGCGTCGTGAACACCTATTTTTGGCTTGGCCAGTCCTTTGTTCTTTTTTTCCTACAATCCAGCTCCTGATTGAGCAACGCATGATTTTCCCTGTGTATGTCCTGAAAGTTGCCATCTCTGTGTGGCTCCCGTGGATGGTATAATTGTGTGGCAGAGCTGCAAATCTTCAGATCTAGCATCCGGATTCTGCTGACTTTACTAAAACCACAGCCACAAACTACACTGTTGCATGGAAAGCAGCGATTACTTTGGTTTCCTTTTCCAATGAAAGCATGGATCCTATATATCTGACAACCAGAAGGATTACTTTGGCAAATGTATTGTATTAGAATCGACCATAGGTTTGCTTTTTGATATCATGTGTTCCTGTTATGCTACCTAGAGTTTGGGTGTATACTTCTTTTCTAAACTTTTTGGAGTAATTCAGATCAAAATGTTTCATGGTACATAATCAAACTATACCTGTATATGCATATATACCAGATACGCATAATGAAAAAGAAGATGAGCCTAATGCAGTTAACAAGGTAAGTAAAATACAACATAAGCATTCCCACAGGTAGCAATGAGATTTCTGATGAAAGAGAAGAAAACTGGGTGATTTGAGGCAAGTAATAGTTTCCAACCATAACTAAAGCGGTGGCATTAAAAATGATATTCCGGGGATCGGCTCAAGCCATGGCCAGAGGGTGGTTTCCCATGAACCAAGCTCTCCTTGGCTCTGAGCTGCAGCCCCTGGCTTTGACTGCAGCTTGTTCTGTTTGCTGTCCTCCGCAGGAGCGGTTTGGGTAGTCCTTCTTCGTGCCGGCTGTCCCGGACCGAGTCGGAGCTCCGGTGCCGCATCCCGGGGGGGAAGCTGTGCAGTGACAGAGGCAGATGCGAATGTGGAGTCTGCATCTGCCAAGTGACAGAGTCCGGCAAATACTACGGTCCGCTCTGCGAGTGCCACGACTGGGTGTGCGAGATCTACGATGGGAAGATCTGTGCAGGTAAGGGAGCCGCTGTGGTGACAGAAGCTTAGAAAATATATATTATAACCAGAAATACGTTGGGAACACAGCACACTGGTAACAGTAAAGAAGCGGTTATGTATGTGTCCCTGAACCAGGACTCTAAACGGGATTGTGGGCACATCCAAGGATTTCACCAGGTTAAAGGATACAAGTCAAAGGCACCGTCTCTGCCATAAAATGAGACTTTCCCCAGAGTGAGCTTCATCGGCAGCAGGGGCAAAAGCAGGAGTCGCTTTGGGTCGGAGGCTCTGCAAACTGTGTTTTGAATCTAATACAGGACACAGTATTGCTTGCTTTTTTCATATAATATTGCTGCATTTGAACTGCTCGCCTAATGATGGCATATGGTATCTACCAGGGCTTTAAACTATCTCTGAAAAATGAACTTTTTCCTTTAATTATTTTTTTTTCCTTCTCCTGCTATGAGAAAGAAGGTTTGCTGTAGCAGGTACCACACTGAGGGCATATAAATACAATAACTCTGTTTTTCTCTAAGTAATGATAATGCTTTCCAAATAGAGACTTAAAACAATGTAATTGTTTTGTGGTTTCAGAGATTTCCCAACTGACACTGTATTCTTTAATGACAGATGAAATAACATACTTTTATGGGACAGAATTTAGTCCCTGCCAGTTGTTGGAACATGTTGCTTGGTTTGCATCTAAACATTATCACCCTTTCATCTTTCCAGCTGTCTTTACTTAAGTTTCTGGGCTATTTCAGTCAGATTTTGGCTTTTTTTTTTTTTTTTTTTTTTTTTTTTAAGCAGTTTAGAATAGGATTTTAGAAAAAAGCAGGGAGAAGAAATGCCATCACATTCCTGAGGGGATTCAGGCTGGAGCTTGATGAAAGGGGCCAGAAGGGTACTTCATTTCTAGTATCCCTGCTTCAACAGCTTTACCAGATTCACACAAACGTGTCATCTTTTGAGGCCAAAAACTGCAATTAGGTCAATGGGAATGTTACAGGAATTCTCCTAGTAAGAGGACAATACAAATGCATTCCAGCAATGGGTTTGGCAAATTTTGTAGGAAAAAAAGAGCAACTTATTTTAGCAACAATGTAGCTAAGAGTGAGAAGTCCAATAATAACATGAAAAGATCAAGGATGGGATTATGAGAAAATATTTCTATTTGGCACCTATGACTTTAGAGTTTTGTGGAGAAACTGATTTATAGATTCTGCAGTTAGCAGAAGTTAGTCCAGTTACATAAGAAACGTTGGGAGTCTGCCAATCATTCCAGCGCCTCGCTGTCCAAAACGTGAATTTTCTGATTGGTGGTGTGATTTCAATATGCTTGCTGTTGTTGCTGGGGTAATTGTATAAAGTGAAACTGAAAGCGCCCTCAATTTTAATATTCTGCCACAAACTCCACTGTTACGTTCCTGTTAATGTCATGAGCAGTGGCTGCAAGTTTTGTCAGTGCTTTGATGGAAAGGGGTGCTGACAGGATAAACAAACCCGAGAGATTTCTAACAATATTCAGCTTTTGTGTAGCACTTCATGAAGCAGTTCAAAGATGTGAATGTTAAGTGATTAAATGTTTTTTAAAAAACAATTTTTCTAGTGGTCACCTTCTGTAGCTGGAGTATTGGAGCCACATTACCACTGAGATGTCAAATAATTTAAATGCACTCTTCTGGAAAAAAGTAGTAAAAATTCAGTGCAAAGTCATGGGGAGGGAAACAGCTGTGAAGGGCCTAGGGTTTTTGCTTGTTTGATTTGTTTTTTTGACAACCGTGCTGAAAGTCCAGCTGACTGTGTTGGAGTCCAGGGCTGCCCAGCACTGCGGGAGAGTGGCCCTGGGTAACTCCTTCAGGGCTGGGACACGGAGTCAGGACCTGGGCGGTGAAAATCCTCCTTTCAGTCTGTGCTTGCTGCCCTCTTCATTTTTCCCCCACGTTTCCAGTGACTTAACTTTAAGTTGTGTGTACATGGGAGAGGGGACCATAGAAAAAGATGGTCAGATCTAGTATAACTGGCAGGAAACGGGTCCTTATGTTGTATGAATAACATACCCCCTGCCCCCCCGACCCTTCAGTGAACCACATCTTCTGATGTTTCTGAACATTATGCCACCAAGCTGATTTCCCATATATGATATGCTTTCCTTTCTTTGCATTTTTGAGCACATTTTTTGACTCGATGATGAAATTGTGTTTCCTTTAGGTGAATAGCCAAAGTGTCTTACTGCGGTTCGATTCCTGTTTCCTGCCTTGTTTTTCTTTTTTCCTAGTTTTGTTTTGATATTTCCTGTCCTGTTTCATTGCGGGTCTCTCCTGATGAATACAACAACAGTAACCGCTGACTGGTACCACATGCAGAACTTATAGACTCTAATTGAATATTCCTCTAGAGAGCCATGGTATTTGAGATTAATGCTGTTTCAAACAAGCTACTTTTCAAGCTGCCAGAGGGATGCCTTTTTCAGGTGTCTAACCACTGGTGATGTTCATATTCAGAGTCGGACAGGCAGAGTTGCTTGAGTCACTCATGCCAAATATAACTGTGTTTCCCTGCCAGTCCGTTCAGACGTACCCCCACTTCCCTCTCCCGTCCCAAGCTAAACAAAATACTTAGTTGCTTAATATGCAGCTCATTATCTTCAAGGCACCTTCTGGGTCAGATCCACTTTCAGAACCAGTCTTTGGACACCCATATGTTGAAGAGGAAAGGTCTGAAGATAGAGAAGATGTCCATCTGTTTATGATTTGATTTTTCTTATCACCTTGTATAAGCAATGGGAAAGAGATTATGCCATGAGTAATGAAGAAGAGCAGATGCAAATCTCTCTGTCCTTTTACTCTCCCTTGAGACTTCTCTGCCATATTTCCCTTCCATGATGTTTCCAGGTGCTTTAGAGGGAATTCCAATCATTTTTTTTGTCGCCCTTTATCCCACTGAGATTAATAAAGCAATAGGTGATCTCCCATGGAGTCAGAAACAAAGAAGAAGAGAGAAATGAAGTGCTGTAGTCTGAGTCACTGAGTCTCCTGTCCTCCTCAGTGGCCTTTTTATCTGCCTGCCATATCATAGGGTGTAGAGGAAAGAAGAGTGGAGTCCCAATACTGTCATTCTCTTTGCAATGTTGGCGACGTCTTTATTTTGTCATTTGCTGCTGGTCTTCTTCCTAAGAGGAGGAAGGCTGAATCAAACACTGAATCAAAACCCCAGAGGATTTATGCTTCATTCAGAGCAGACAATATATTTCTTGCTGTTTATTTGCAAATAGTAGTTCTGACCTCAGACAGTTTCATACTGCCTCAGGCTTTCTCAGCATAAGTGGAGCCTGTGTTGTGTTCAAAGGAAAGTGGAATGCAGCACTAATTCCTATCACGTCGCTGCTTGATACCTATTCTTCTGTGGTTTTGCAGTATAGACGAAAATCAATGTTAATGAATTATTTTTTTTTTTAGTTAATCTTTTTTACTGTGCCTGTGATTAATGAAGATAGAAAAAGTAAACTAAGCGTAGGCTTCCAGGGCCAACTGGAGCGGGAACACTTTAGATGTTCCCAGAGAACAGACCACGGAAATTGCCAGCTGGGACATGAGACAGTATGATTGCTCTGCTCATAGTTGGTGAGATCAAGGGGCAGATATGATTCGGTGGCAGCAAAGAGAGTGACATATGAAGAAGGTTCCTCTTTGCTCGGAACTATATTCATTGTCTTTGTGTTTCCATAGTTAACAAAGATTTTATAAACAATTTTTCTTCCAAACTGAAATACCTTTTACACCTACTGAATAACAGTGGCACTGCGGGATTTACCACTGCCATAAGCAGTTGCTGGGGAACTTTCGTTGCTGCTGCTCAGGCCACTGAAAGATTTTTCTGTTTCTTTCTCCAAAGCTGTAGTTGTGGCAAGTGCTGTACCTATTTTGAGACTAGTTCAGCAATGTAATGGCAGTGTTAGTCGTAGGTTTTCACAGCCAGAAGTGTTATCATAGTTATGTGAAGGACAGAAAGATACTAGTGCCATGATTTTCCACTCTGTAATGCTTTAAACTATGCAGAGAACACAAGTGAAAAATTAAATTGTGAAGGAGTGGATGTAGAAATACAAGATAAATCCAAATTAAAGTATTGATGTAATACGTAGTTAGGCATCCATGTGAGTTTATTGTATATATGGCCCTATATATCAGTTGGAGAGAGTTAGGAAATTGAGAATGGAATTTGGAGAACATTTTGAGCTGAGGAGTGCTCTTTGCACAAAAGCTGGATAGTGTTTTTAGGCAGAGCTATCTTAGTCGAGCTGGAAATGCTCTAACAACTGTACCTTTGTATTCATACTGAAGGGAGGTCTGACATGCTGATTTTTCATTGAGCAGCATTTCTTGCTACAAGTTTGAAGAAAAGCCAGTCTGTGACCTGCATTGATTGCCATTTGATCCAAAGTGAAATTCAAAGCCCTGGATTTTGAGAACAGGTGTAAGCCTCTTCTCTGTCAGGGGCCACATTTGTGAAGATTCAGCTGTGGCACATGTGGTCATTGGAGGGACAGGCTCCTAAAAAGACCAAGTTAAAAATAGGGCCAGAGGCTACTGATGAAAACGGAGCTTGCAGTTCTTCTCTTACCGGGTTTGCTTTAGTCTGGATTTCAGAACTTGGCTTAAGTGACATTTCCTCCTGGAGCAAGGTTTTGTAGGTGTGATAATAGCATACCTATTCATCTCAAAAACAGGTCCCCCAGATTCTAGTAGAAGTGAAATTGTGATAGCATAGACCTCATTGCAGGCTTGTTGCCTTGCTAAGTGCACGAGGTCCCGGCAGACTGACAAAGCACAAACTAAAGCCTGTATTAGTCTCAGCTTTATGCTGTTGGTACCTGATCTAGGTAAACTCAAGCAGCCTTTGATACATCTACAGTCGCTGTAGTTCCAAATGCAGTGTGTACGTTCATAGCAGCGGCGAGCGAAGCACGAGGAGGGAGCTCAGAGAGAGACACTGTGAGGGAGATGATTACTGGAA